CCCCCCACACGTACCCCCAGCCCCACAGGGAGCAGGGGAGCAGCAGTGGGGCTGTGGCTGGGGGGGAGCAGGATCATTCCCAACGTTCCTGTGGTGGCTTTGGCTCCGCTCACAGCCTGCGGTGGGAAAAGCGAGGGGGAAAACGGAACCGGGCGAGGGGTTCCTCCATTGATGGGAGGCACCGGGGCCGTGCTTATGGCCGAGGAGCATCAGCCCCAGCCTGGGAGCATCCTCCCTGCTCATGGAGCACGGCTGCAGAGCATCACCCAGGCCAGGTTGGACACAGGGGCTTGGAGCAAGCTGCTCCAGTGGAAGGGGTCCCTGCCCGGGGCAGGGGTTGGAGCTGGGGGAGCTTTAAGGTCCCTTCCAATTCAAACCATCCCGTGATCCCCATCCCACTGCGGGTGCAGCCCTGCGGGGGTGAAGGGGTTGAACCCAAGGGGTTGAAGCTGTTCTTCTACACCCAACCACGTGCTGGGACTTTCCTGTCCCCGGCGAGGCCGCCTGGGACGCGCGGTGTCGCTGCCCAGATGCACTGCTTCGCTGCCATGCAAATGGGGAGCCAGATATAGGCCGTGGAGGGGATGGCACCGGAGCAGGAGGCTCCCCGGGGGGCTCAGGGACGGGGGGGGTGACAGGAACCTGCTGCCCCCGGCGCGGTGACGCGGTGACAGCCCGGCCATGGCCCTGCTGCACACCCGTGTCCCCCACACTGCGCCTTGGCAGTGCCGGTGCTGGGCACAAGGCTCTGCATGGGGGCATGTGTGAGGCTCCCATTCCACCCCCTCCCATCCCTTCCAATCCCATCCCCACTCCCTCCTATCCCCTCTTATCCCATCCCATCCCATTCATTGCTCCCTTTCCCCTCCCGTTGTCACTCAGCCCCCAGGGGAAGCACAGGGGTGTTCCCATGCCCCCGGTTTGGGATCAGAGGATCCCAGCCCATGGTGAGGGCGCAGAACGGCGGCGGCTCCTCACCGGGCCGGCGCAGGGGAGTGTGACTCGGCCTGGAGCGTCGCGACACGGAGGAGGAGGAGGAGGAGGAGGAGGTGTTGGTGGTGACTCAAATCCTCCCTGTCCTGCTCTCCCCTCTCCCAGTCGCCGGGCTCTGGAGCGCTCCCGGGGCGGCAGCAGGAGCCGGATGGGATGCTCCGGGGATGCAGCGTCTGACGGGAGTTTGGTGTGTGGCACAAAGCGTGTTTCGACACGACGGTGGAAACGGGTTCCTCTCTGCTCTATCCTCATTACAGCATATCAGCAGATAAGGATCTCCCTGTCATAACACCAACGTCTTCATAAAGCCGGGGCTTTAAAAGCGTTTGATTCCAGAAGAGGGCTGGGGAGGGGGGGTGGCGTCAAACCAGCTCTTCTTGAGTGAAAAGCCAGGCTGGGGCAGCAGCACAATGCAGGGAAAACACCTCTTGGTTCTTGTGCTGCCCCCAGGCAAGGGAGGATGTGGAGGTAAAAGGCAAAAAGGATCCTCTGGCTTGCTGCTTTTCCCCTTCTGTTTCTCAAGCCTGCCCAGCTCCTCGTGGTAGGTGTCAGGAGAGCGTGCAATGAGCGTGAACAACGTCACCCTGCCTGAAGAGGTGCTGAGAAAGGGCTGTGGGAGGGGTGGTGGGAGCCAGGATGTTTCCATCTGGCTCCAGCCTCACCTTGGGGCAAAGCTGGGCCCATCCTGCAGTGGGCTGGGAGCTGCCTTCACCCCATAGACCTGGCCCTGGGCAGGTCACGGGGGACTCTGACACTGCAGGATGCAGCTTGGTGACACCTCATGGCACAAGGAGTGTGTCCTGAGGCTGGGAGCAGGGCAGGCAGCCAGGGCATGGCACGGGAATAGCTTCCTGCAGCCCCTTCAGGCACTGGAGCTGCTCTCAGGTCTCCCATTCAGGAGCCTTCTCATGTCCAGGCTGCCCCAGCCCAGCTCTCTCAGCCTGGCTCCAGAGCAGAGCTGCTCCAGCCCTCGCAGCATCCCCATGGCCTCCTCTGGCCTCATCTGACAGCTCCACGTCCCTCTTGCACTGCTGCCCCAGGGCTGGACACAGAACTTCTGCTCTGCCAGGGCAAATTTGGGCCATTCCCCTCCCTCAAACACTTGTCCCGGGCTGGCTGGGGGGCCAAGGGAAGCCAGGAGCAGCCCCTGATCAGAGAAGAGGAAGAGGTTTCCTTCCTCATGTGCCACCATTTTCCCCCAGTTTTCCAGCCCTGAGCACTGCCATCACCTCTGCTTTCACAGAACCACACAACAGTTTGGGTTGGAAGGGACCTTAAAGCTCATCCAGTTCCAACCCCCTGCCATGGGCAGGGCCACCTTCCACCGGACCAGGTTGCTCCAAGTCCCATCCAAGCTGCCTTCAGTGCCTTTAACCATGACGTACATGAGAGTTTATTGAAGTTTTAAAGAACTTCTATCAACTCTGAGGCCCCAGAGGCTGCTTTCTTAGTGCTAAAAGCCACTTCCCTGAGCTGCCTCCGTGCTCCCACTGTTGGGCTCTAATTCATCAGTAAACGAAGAACCCAAGTGAGACAAGACCAAGCAGTGGTTGAAGAGAACCATCCCCACCAAAATTTGCTTTGTACCAAAAATAACCAAAGCAGGAGGAGCACGAATCAGGCTCACAACAAACACCGGTGCTTTTCATCCCTCTGCTTTCCCAGATGGGGTGATTTGCAAACCTCAGATGCCTGCCCGGGATGGAGCGGAGCTCTTGGATGGATGGGTCCGTCTCAATGGGCTTCCCTATGCTTAGCGACGAGGGAGGGTGCTCAGCTCGTGGGGCAGTGCAGTAGGATGGGGTTTGCCACGCTGGTGGCGTTTCCAGTGTGGAGGGGAGCACATGGAGGGGGCTGAGCCCGGCCCGGCGCCGGTGAATCCTGCTCTGGGGACACGGCTCAGGCACCACGCAGCAGCTAAACTCGTCAAAACACAGCGATAGGTTTTAATGAACGACTGGCTTGAAATTCCACCCCAGGGTTGCTCAACAGCGGAGCTGGAATGAGGCTGCAGGCAGCGCCGGGAATGGCTCCTGGTTCAGCCCATCTGGAAATCATGGCTCTGCCTGAGCAGCGGTGGGGAAACGGTGGGGAAACCTCCCTCCTTCCTCTCCCAACCCGGCAGCAGTGCTCCGAGCTGCTGGTGGCACCAGGGTGGAGGGTGCTGGCTCCCCTCAGCTGGGGAGGGAGGAAGGAGGGGTGGCCTCAGCTCTGTCTGACGGGAAGGGAAGTGGCAAGAGTTCATCTGAAGAGGGATTTCAAGGACTGGGCAGCGGCGTGAGGAACCGGTCACAGTGCTGTGAGGAGCTTCCAGTGCAAAGGACAAGTGATGCTTCACGGTGGGTGACCTTATTCGTCGCTGGCAAACCATGAGGAGTGCTGTTCATCAGCCACGGTGTGTGAGGAGCTCAGCTTTCCCCAGGAACGCAGCAGGAGGGATGGAGCTGTGGCAGGATTTACACCAGGTGAAGCGGGGAACTGGCCAAATGCTTCCCAAACCCAGGCTGCTGCCTGATGTCAGTCCTTGGATGACTGTGGTGGAACTGCAGCCTCGCTCACAGAAGGATCTTTGTCACGCCACGGCATTGGGAAGAGGCAAGATTTACCCTCTCACTGTGCCTCACAATGGGAAACTGGTCATTGGGAAAAGATCCTAAGCCTATTTTATCACTACACATGTAACAGCACACAAGGTACAAACCAGTTCTCCTCACCCCCTGCAACGAGCTGGATCGAGGATCTAGCTCTTCCACAGCACTTGTGACCTTAAAATTCAGGGAGGGAGAAAGTCTTTGAGGCCAAAGAGCGAGCCCAGGTCAGAGGGAGGGAGGAAGTTCAGTAGTTCTCGACCCTCGGCACTCTACCCAGGTCTTTGCACCTGACCTTCCCTCACGGGTCACCAGGGATATTGGCACAGCAACACTGAAGGAGTACAGAAGCGCTGTAGCTATCAAACCAGACGATGCAGGAAGTCCACCAGCACACACCTGGCTCCACGCTACACAAAATACTTTGCAAAGAACAAACATTCACTCAGCAAAACTGCTATCAAATTCCTATCTCCAGCGCAGTGAGTAATAATACAGCTGCAGAGCAGCGATTAGATTAAAAGAGCTATTTTAGAACCCAGCTTCAAAGTCATGGTAAATAGTCATTTTGCAAAACAGCACATTTCACACCGAGGGACATCCCCACCTAAGAGCAGACGGAGCTGGCGGCTCCCACACACCCCGGTGCAGGTTCTCACGGCGCCGGTGACTCCGCCACGAGCCCGTCGCTGCCTCCTTGGTCTTGGCACCCATTAGGAAAGAGAACTTCAGGGTGTTCCCCCCCCCACCAGACACAGTGTCCTCCTTGGTCCTGGCACCCATCGGAAAGGAGGACTTCCCATCACCGAAAGGCAGGATTTCCCCCCAGACTGCATGGGTGAGCCAAGCAGTGACCTCACTGGGTATCCCAAAAAGGCGTGCTGTTAAAACCCCCCAACCCAGGTCTCATCTCTCGCTTTGCTCTGACGGAGACACGTGTGGGAGTGACTTTAAAGCAGGTGAACAGAAGGGGAAGAAAAATGAAAGTGTGGTGGGGCCACATGCTCTTTAAAACTTAGGGGAAAACCTTTGAAGAGGAATTACTAATCCCTCCCAGTGTGTTTGCCTTGTTTTAGTGATTTGAAGCCCATCGGGATTGTAACAGCTAAAACAAAGCTCCTCCTATATTCCTGCTCCTACACATGGGACCAGCATCAGCAGGGCATCAAACCCTTTTGAGCTGAGTTAAAGCACACATTAGGAAACACAAATGCACGTTAAAAAAATAATGGCTCTTAATTTGCACAAAAATAAACTTCCTCTAAAAACGGGTCTCTGCTCCTGGGATTTGCTCAGTCCCAGCCAGCACAGCAGCGAGGCAGAGATGCTACAGAACACTGACTGGTTTGCAAAGGAACGTGTAAAAAGGTGTCACCTGCCCCATGACACTCATCGTAAAATATATTCAAGAGGTTTCTTCCTGCTAATGACAACCCAACGAGCCTCCCCTCTGACCTTGTGAAACGGGTCCTTTTACTTGAGCACCACCCGGTGCTCTCCTCGGGCTATGTGGGACGAGAACTCGTAGCGATCGTGGCTCCGGTACCCGCAGACGTTGCACTCGAAGGGGTCACGGAAGCCGTGGCAGCCCATGTGGATGGTGAACATCACGTAATCCAAAAAGAGGACGTGGCAGTGGTCACACCGGTACACCCCGATGGCTTCCCCGTCCTTGTTGATGACCTTGAAGGCATCTCGTGGGCATATGGCAGGCGGCTTGATGATGTCGTACGGCCTTGGGAAGTCCTTCAAGGGCTGGAGGCCGTTGCGGGCCTGAGCGGGGAGCATCTGGCTTGGGTGGAAAGCGGGATTCTGCCGCTCCTCGTGGTTGCTGTCAGTGTCTGTGGAGTCTTGGCCACTGTTGTTGGGGGAGAGGCCTCTGTCTGAAGACAGGCTTTTGTCCCTTAGGTGGGGGTGGCTCTTCTCAGCATCCTGCGAGGTGCCGTTGGGCACCTCAGCGCGAGTCAGCGCAATGGGGTACAGGCTGCTGATGACGGGGACCATCTCGGAGGTGGGAGCTGGTGGTGTCTGCACAAGAGGGCGCAAGGCTTCAGCCCCCAGGTAGGTGATGGCATTGTTTATGGCCTGGTCCATCATACGTCCTTGCATCACATCGCTTTCCTTTTCGTACATGAAACTTGAATGATAATTAACATCAAAACTGTGGCGTTTCTCACCTGCAAGAGAGGAGAGGCATGAAGTCACCTGGGTGGGTAAAGAAGCATTTAGACTACACGAGGTCTGTTTTAAATGGCAGCAGTCTCTGGAAAGCAAAGAGGCATGAAATGTTCTCTGCTGAAAGAGGCTCTTCACACACCCAAGTAGCTTTTGGGGGCGAGGGATGGGTTTTGTTCATTTGGTAAAGCTCAGGCTTGGAAGCAAAATAAGTCTCATAGAGGAGGAGGTGAGGATGGTTACTGACTTGGAAACATCAGATCCACCAATCTTTGAGTTATGGTAACTCAGATAGTGCAGATGTTTATCAGTCACCTGTCAACACCATGACTCAATGGATATGAAACTCATGAGGTTTCACTGCAGAGGCAGAAACCCAGGAGCTCACGTTTCTCTTATAAAAACACTCAAAAAGGTGAGTGAACCAAAAGTGTGTAACTGCTTCCAGCCCTCACCAGGACTTCACACAGGAGGAAACCAGACCATAGAGCATGTTTGTATGAGTCAAACCCAGCTCCAAGAGAATGAAAAATGTGAACAAAAAGGCAACAGAAGTGAAAATAGATATTTGGGACTCCCTGTGAATTTGGGGTTCATTGTCATAAGAGAAGAGACAAAAACCACAACATACGATCTCTGAGGCTCTCACGTGCTGTTATCCCACTATCCTGGTGGCTTTTGAAAGTCCTCACGACCATCGCCCTTTGATTCAAGGTTGTATCAAATGAAATGCAAACACCCAAAAGCTCTTCTGACACCAGAACGTTAATGCGTTGTGGTGCTGCACACCTTCAAAAGGCAACAGCGCATCAGATGCAGACTTGGCTCTCCAGTCTTCACTGGCCACGCAGCCACTGGTTAGCAGAACATCTTTCCTCTCTTTTGCTTGTCTCTGTAAGCAATGCTAAGGCTTTCCCTTTCAACATCCACACATGAGCCATAGTGCGGGACATGTTCTCGTGTGCTGGTTGCTCTGTGGCTCTTCACTCACTCGAAACCACTTTGATTTTGCAGCCTGGTGAGGTGTGGACACTGGGAAGAGGGAGGGAACCTGCTTCCTGCCACCCTGCTAACCAAAGCAGCCATTTCTCATGAGACTTCACACACCAGGGAACAGTGGTGTGTGGAGCTGCGTTGGAGCTGCCCTGACACTTCTACCACTATCAGAAATAGATTTTCGCTCTTGGTCTCTGGGAGAACTTGTTTTTAAAGTGAAGAAATAGAAGTCTGTAGGCTGAGATGCTCAGCTGAGGTACACTGCAGCAATGCCTTGACTGCAGCAGTTACTTTGACTTGCACCAATTGAAGATAGAGCCCTATGAGTGCTCTAGAGAGCAGTGAAACCACGAGCAGGTATCGAGCTGTTCTGCTGGGCTGTTTTCTTTATAAGTATCTGTTCATTAATCAAACCAGGAAGTACAAAAAGCCAAGGCTTGTACTTTGCTCCATACACATGCAAAACAGAGATCCAGAGCAAAACAGGAAACACAAAACCATAAACTTCCATTTAAATCCTTGTTCCCTCAGCACTAAGGGAAAAACTAAATCTTTATGGGAGAAGGCTTTGGAGAGGGGCGTAGCGCAGAGGTTAAGAGTCAAGTAGGTGGTTTGCTGATCTGCGTCCTTATTTGAGACTTACTATGCACACGAGGTAGCTCCTGCAGATGAAAATGGGAGAAATAAAGTGGGCAAAACTCCTGGTGCTTGTATGAACCTCTGCAGAGCCCTCAAATAATAATGCAGTTGAGTTTTATTTCCCCATCAATGGACTTCATTCACAGAACTGAGCCTAACAAAGAGGCCTTGTTAGTACACATCGCTATCCCTCCTCCCTGACAGCATGAAAAATCAGCACCCATTCCAACAACGCTGTTTCCCAAGGAACCCCAAAGCTGTCCTGTTAGATCTGCACTCCCACACGAGCAGTTCAGACAGTCACAGGAGTCACACTGAGGTCGGACAGACCCCTCTTCCCAAGGATAATCCACTTCCCAAGGATAAAAGGGACCGAGTAATGTTTTCACATGCAACTTAACAAGAACCCCACAGGTTCAGGAAAATCACTTTAAGCTTCAGAAATCAGCTATTTTGTTCCTGGGTCCTCCAACTTCCCCACAAACCCCCTCCCTGTGATGCAGCATGAGCGCATGCCATCACCCCAGTGCATTACTGAGCTCCATCACAAATCAGACAAGGATCTGTTCCATATGGTAACTGCTAAACTGGTAAAACAAACAAGAAACACGCTTCACTTGAAGTGAAGTATGCTGCGTGTGTGATTAATAAAGTACATCAGGATTGAAACGGTAGCAAGTGTCGACCAAGGTGGGGGGAAGCTCATCTCTGTGCTAAGAAAAAGGAAGCTAAAAGATTTTCAAACCCATTTGCATTAGCATTACTTTCTGAATCACAGCAGGACATGTAAGGCTGAAGTCACATAGTCAACAGTTTCAGTATGAAGCACCCAAAGGCACTCACATGGAGTGTTACTTCACTCCCGTGTGAAGAGGTGACCTTTTTAAAGCCATACTAAGGTATCTGAATAAAAACTAGCAGTTTTTGTAGGTGGAAGTCCAGTGCTACCCACCAAATCCACCCAGAGCTATGTTACCTTCAGAAACCACTCTGGGTTTATGTCTGTATGGATTCAGCAGCATTCCTGTACCTAGGCTTGGACCTCAGGGACACGTGGCCTTCAGGCCAGGTCCTCAGCACATCCCCTGCCAAATGGGCCTGATCCCTGCCTGTGTGCTCAGCCCCACGCTTCTTCCCTCCCTGGTCATGTGTGTGAGCACCAGCCACTGCTCAGACCCTGCACTAACCATGAAGTTCATAGTAAGAAAAGCATCACTCAATGCCTTATATGCCCAAACAGAACATAAACAAGGCATTGCTAGTATTAGTCTCATGTAACTGCTGACTAAGTCAGGTCTTTACTCAGGACACAAGAGTTGCATTTCACTTTCTTAAAAGGCGAGTTAATGAAAGCAGCCTAGCCGAGAGGATCAGGCGTTCACTGGAGCACAGAACCTGCCAAACTAGTATGTGAGATCCCCGGCATGTAAAACTCTGATCATAGGAAATTAAATGCAAAGAAAATACTATGGAAACATCCTGTTGCTTAAATTACCACAAGAAAGGATCTGATATTTTCTGAATCGTATTCAAATTCAGCAGCAGGATGACTAACAGAAATCCAATACCTTTCTGTCTCTAGGCCTTACGCCACACATGCATCCTAAGTATCTTCAGCTCCTGCTGACCAGACAGAGCACCTTGCTGTTAACAGCATGAAGCCTTCCTGTTCTCTTCCTGGGAAGAGCCTAGCAGAGAACATTTCAAACACACAGGTACAGAAAACAGCACATGGAAGCTTGTCAGACCTCTACATTGCCTACACAGACAGACACACAGCGCAGCAGTAGCTTCCATCCAGTTTAAGTATCTAGTCTTTGTATTTTAATCAACCCCCTACAACAAATCACTAAAACCACATCAGAATCAGCCAAGTTACTTTATTTATACTCTTTTGTATTAGCTTAGGTTATAAACTCGAGCAGGCTGTTTAAAAGAAGCAGAGGCATTGTCCTAGAAGTAACCAGCTCGCGCACATTAAACTGTTGCACATGAAAAGGTTTTTTGTTCTTACCAATAAATTTCTGAGGCATTGAGCTTTTTCTCTTTGCCACGTTGCTCGCTAGCCTGTCCAGCACAAGGGCTCTTTCACTCCCCATCTCTGCCTTGATGTGCCTTCCCTCCACGCTCGCTACTTCCGAAATGTGACAAGGAAGACAAGAAAAAAACAAGAACACAACAAGTAGGTGAAAAGGGGAAAAAAAGAAAAAAAAAAGACAGAAATTAAAATAATAAAGGAGGAGATGAATGGTTTAATCTCCGGAGTTTGCCACGCTAACTGGGAGGAAACAGTTTGGAGATCTGATGTCAGCTTGTTTTGCTGCTTCTGCTGTTCTTGCTCTTTGCGTCTTGGGCACCAGTTGCGGTCAGTGGAACCAAGCAGACACTGATCTTGCAGTCCTGAGCTCATGCAAAGGGAGCAGAAACCGTAAGACCCAGTATCTTCATTAGCAAGAGGAAGTGCAAAATCAACTGGCTGGAAGGGCTGGTTACAAAGTGTAGCTGGAGATACAACCTCTGCTAGCCTGCCTTTTCTATTCTGAGTAAGACCAGGACATGTGCAGGCTGCCACCATGCTCCAATGCTGCAGTAAAAGACATTCGGTCCTCTTGCCACACTGCTTTAGGTATCACTCACACTTGGAGGTCTTCAGTAACCAGTAAGAAACTGGCACGAAGTATAGCAAAAAATGATTCAAATAATAAAACCTTTCAAGAGTCTCTTCCAGCTCATTTCCCCCCAGGTGCCTTTATCACTTCTTTTTTGCCCCGAACATCCTCAGAACGTTGCTCCCTGGCACGCTCCTAAGCATGAGGTGCTTTAAAGCTCATCACAACCTCCATAATTCCCAATTCCAGGAAAACATGCCCTACGATCACTCTCTCGACCCAGGGCCACCGACAGCTTTAAGGCTAGGACCATTTTCCAGAGTCTCCTTGAGCCGTGCTCACCAGAGCTCACCGGTGCTCCCCATTTCACGGAAATGACTGCTTGTTCTCACCTCAGGGAGGCTGCACAGGCTTTTGAGGTGGATCAGCCACCTCATATCACTACTACCAGACTAATACTGAGTGTAACTGCTGTGGCTTCCCCCCCCCAAAGCTCCCGCTTGCCTGCAGAACAAGCAGCAGTTGTGGTGTTTTTATATTAACAAGTAGCACAAAGAGTTTCAGGGTCAGGGAGCAAATGTGGTGAAACTGGACACATTGCAAGAGCTTGCCCATGCCTTTAAGAGCTGGTATCTAAGTAGAGGAAAGCAAAGGCAAGGCAGGGTAATTTACTTTCCCAAGGTAATACTAAAGGTCAGCTCTCACTGTGAAAGAATCCTGGTTGCGTGTGATTGTACTTTTGTACCTAAATATATGAAGCATCATGTATGTAAGACGGAAGTAATGCCAGAGGAAAGTGATCCAAGTGCTTTGGTATCACTGCAGTCCTGTTAAATGCACTTTTCATTAAGTACTGGGCTTAAATTGCAGTTTGCCCAGTACAAGAAGTGATAAAAATGCAGCATCTCCCTGGAAATGCCAAAGTCACCCCTGTTTATTAGTGCTGCTATTGATATCATATGAGTTGCAGTCAGCACCAACCTCAGCCAGAAGCATCTGTTAATGTTTGTTCAGCATTTTAAACATGTAAAGTGCTTCAGAAGCACTCGATGCCACAAATACTGCCTTTGAGTATGACTCAGGGTAGATGGAGAACAGGGTTCACTTCAGCCCTGTTTCATCAGGCTGTAACCCCGTGATGTACGTGATAATGAGACCCACAAAGGGCATGCTCAGGGCCTGAAAGGTAATAACATCCTGCCTTCCTTGATTCTAAATTACCCTAGGATGCTTAAAGACTTAGAATAAATAGAACTCATATTATACTTAGAATGAATATATTCATTAGCTGCTAAAAGGCATCTGCTGCCAGCATGAAATACCAAGACACTACGTAATAGTTGACATAAAGTGAAGCAAAACATCAGATTAAGTTGAAACCGTAAAGGAAAGTGAGGTAGCAGAACATGATCATCCCTTTGGATTTTGGCCAGAAGCTCTAGTTAATTCTTGAGGATGCTGTGATGGGATTGGTGATTTCAGAGCTTCTGTTTAACACTCATGCCCCAGAAAGATGGACTATGCTTCCCGAGCTCCTTATATAGTCTGCAAACAACTGCAGTTCAAGGCTGGAACTATCCCCAAGGCAGAAAGCTGTCAACTTGTCAGATCACTGCACAAAGCAGTAGTAATTTGAATTTAACCCCCCCCCCTCCCCCCAGCAACCCACAACTGCCCTGAACAAGATAACACAAAGGGTGCTGTATATTCAAAAACACATAAAGAAAGGAAACACGATTCATCCACGTCAGAAAGCAGCACCTTGGTCCCTACCATTCCTTCACGGTTCTTGTTTTGTTCTAGTTCCGCTTTTTCTCAACCTTTAACTTCACCAGTTGCACTTATGCTCTACTCCAGCTTTAATTTCACATTTGCAGACTCTTTTGCTCTTGATAGTGAAGCTTCTGGAGCCTTATCAGCCAGCCCAGATGCAGGCTGGAGCCTGGGTGCAGTGTCACTGACTGCTTGTCTTGTCAATGGTATTTTAAGTGCCACCAAGGGAATGTCATTAAATTAGTGTCAAGAGGGCAGGCAAGCAGCTTCCTGCAGAGGTAACAAGAGTCTTTACTCAGAGGAGACTGCTGAGGAGACAGTAACTACTGACCTACATAAGATGTTCTAGGACATCTGTAATTATCAGTCTCTCAGCTTGATGTCTCTCTGCCATTTTACTTAAAGGCTGGGAGTCTTTTCTTGCACATTAAGATTTCCTACTCCTTGCTAAGAGCCATTTTTTTCCTCAAGAAAAAAAAATCATCTCCATTTATGGGCCACAAAGGGTCTTTGACAACCTCTTCATAGAGCAGCCTGAGGGAAACAGCCTCTGCTCCCACTGACACACAGGTGGTTACACTGGTTCCCTCCCACAACACTGCTCTCTACCCAAAAGTGAACTTAAAATTATCTCCCCCACCTCTTTCTTCTGGACCATTTATTAAACAGCCCAAGAATAATATTTAGTATTTAGGAAACATCAGCTTTAATCACTCAAAATCCTCTACAGACTTCTCAGAGAGAAACAATCAGGCCCTGTCTCCCTCTTCAATTACCTGACCCACTAATACCACAGGATTTCTTACAGTAGTAGGATGGGGTTTAGGTCCAATGTCCTGACTGCTTTTAAACCTGGGGCATTGCCTCCTACTCAGCTAACAGTGATTACAGCCTCCCCTCACCACCACCAGAGAGGTGTCGGTGGTGCTTCAGCGCACTGCTGCCCGCCTGAGGGCTGTGAACATTGCAGTTGTGAGCTTCTCTTTATAAAGCATTTCCAGAAGAAAACTGCTGAATCACAGAATCCCAGCCTGCTTTGGGTGGGAAGGGGCCTTAAAACTCATCCAGCTCCAACCCCTGCCACGGGCAGGGACCCCTTCCACTAGAGCAGCTTGCTCCAAGCCCCTGTGTCCAACCTGGCCTTGAACACTGCCAGGGATGGGGCAGCCACAGCTTCTCTGGGCACCCTGTGCCAGCGCCTCAGCACCCTCACAGGGAAGAGCTTCTGCCTAAGAGCTCATCTCAGTCTCCCTTCCAATAATCTAATAATAATAATAATGATATGATTAGATAATATCTAACCTAAATCTCCATGAATGACTACTTATGTATGACTGAGGGACGAGCCACCTCTCTCAAACAGTGCTGTCACCTCACCATCATGTCACTCTGCAGACATGCAGAGCAGATACTGTCCTTCCAGCCCGGGGCACGAGCACACACAATGATTTAACTTCTGCTGAGCTGTTTCCATGGTGTGGTTTCTGTCTGTCCCCCCAGAAATGTGCCATTTTTAGAACTTGTGGGCATTGCTAACACACCCCTAAAGCACAAAGCAGAGCTCAAATTAGAGGCATTGCTTCCTGTAGCATTTCTATGTGGTCACTCAATACTGGAGAGTGGAACGGAGAGGTGGGCTCTTGTGCAATGAGAACGATGCGAGCAGAGATTGCTATCAGGGACTGAGCAACGCTCTGACAATACTGTTACATGAAACTCTTTGTTCAGAGATATTTCCACATCTGGAACACGCAAACCCTGCACTACAAAGTGACCAGAATGGTTACCACTGCTGCTCTTTGATATTGTCATGAATTATTGGATGATGGCGTGGAGAGTGTGCTTGAGCTTTGAATTGGGAAGTTCCCCAATTCAAAGGGATGTGGATAAGTAGGGGAATGGTCAGAAAGTAAAACAAATGCTCACTAAACACAAGCACAAAATGCTACATTTAGGGGAAAAAAAATCAAACCAAAAGCACTAAATGAGCTCCTGAGGCCCTTTCCCGCCTTCCCACGCTCGGGCTCTGTCATCGAACAGAGCGCTGATAGCAGAGAATGGAATGGAAAAGCCTCAGCAAGAGTGGGGTTCCTGTTTGTCAGAAACCTCAGTGCTCCACTAAAACCAGGGCTGCATTTTTAAGATGCAAAGTCTCAAAGGCAGGGGTACGTTATGTCGTACTGGAAATTCACATTTCCTCTGTGTCACTGCAGCAAGTACACAGAGCATATTCTGGATAAGTGAAATGCTGCTATTCTGAAATGAATATCTACCATGAAGCAGATTTCAAAGCATAAATCTGTAGTAGGTATCATGTTTTCCATTTTCACATGGTATGGACATCTCTGAGTGATTGCCATCAGGGGAGTATGTGCTGTACCATCAAACCACACTTACAGTGCGTATGGGTTCTCATGAAACCCAAAACTTGCTGATGCTCTGATCGTAATTCAATTTTACTACAAAAACATGTCATTTGCTGAAAAGAAAATAGCCCATGGAAAGCTATAAAACTCAAACTTCTTTAAATCATTGTCTCTTTATGGAGGCTTGTGTGTATGCATGTGACCTAAGGCCTGACACACCAAGCTACTCACTCTGCTCAGGGTAAGGGCTCTTGTACCCACATGGCTACTGTCGTGTATCAACAGGTCTTCACACTGATTTTTAGGCCAGACTTGTGATGAGCCTGCACAATCCTTGCTTGATAGTCATCTCACTAAATCCAGTTTTTAAGTTATTGTCATTATTCTAGGGCCTTAGTAAATGTTGTCATCTAAGTATATTTTTACATGTTAGTGTGAAACTGTGAAAACTCAGTTTAGCCTTTTCTTTGCAAAGAAAATTCAAACTCAAACTAGGAAGCTCGAGTCCTTCAAGTTATGAATGCTCCAAAGATGGGAGCAGCTCTGCTCTGGAGCCAGGCTGAGAGAGCTGGGCTTGTTCAGCCTGGAGAAGAGAAGGCTCCAGGCAGACCATGGACTGAGACATGTGAACAAGTATCGTCAACAGTCATAGGCACCAACTTGGCCAATAAAACCAGCCAGGAAATGGCAGTAATGTAGGAATCATTTAACTTACTGTGAGTGTCACCTACAGAAATGCTGTGTGCAGGGTGGTTTAGATGTTTTATCCAAAGTAACTGTGAAATGAAAAAGTGATTACGATAACAGCATTCTTTAACTAGCTGCCTGAGGGATGCATTAAACCAGACCCTTTCCAGAGATGTTATAGACCTTGAGGCTCCTGAAAATGACTGGAGTAAAAACTGTTCTCAGGCTGTCCATTAGCAGCTTACCAGATGCCCTTTTCTAAAGCCACTGCAGCGTGACACACTCACCAGGCTCACACATGCCAGCGTTCTGCAGGTACGTACGGCACCGCTCCCGGTGCTCCTCCAACGAGCTCCTCTGCTTGTAGCTCCTCCCGCAGAACTCACACTTGTATGGCTTCTCCACTGGAAAAGGAAGAGTGCAGCATAAATAACCACCAGAGACTCCTGAAACGCTGGCGTTCAAGTGTATCATTACTAATAGCATGCAGTCAACTCTTGCTTGAAAATGCTTGAAGCTTCTGTTAAGTTTATGATGACGGTGATCATCAAAAAATGAGGGTTACACAAGGGTGCAACCCACCAGGCACAGAGTTCCTCTTCATCCCCTAAACTCAGCACCAGGAAAGAAGAGGATTTAGGATTAGACCCTGTTCCTAGGAGGTTGCTGGAGCTTTACTCTAACTGATGGCTTTTCTTGCCTAACTTCCTTAGGGAAGAGCAACTGCTCTGCTGTAAAGCAGGGCTGCTGCTGTCCCAATTGCCTCACCTAGCTCCTGCCTATACAGACTTTTTCAAGGATTTCATGAAACTGAAGAACTTAAACCAACCCAAAACTATATGTGAGCTTCATTTAATATCCAAAGACACGTATTGTAAAGGGAATGACGTTCCTAATTCGTTTAAGCTAAAGCAAACCTGTTTGAAGCTCAAGATACCCACACAGCCTTTCCCAGTGCCTCATGGACAAGGACTGGCAGCACCTTCTAGACTGTCTCATTACTGTTTTGTGAACAGACATCCTCTAACACACCCAAGCAAAATATCAGCCCTGTACAGCACAAATACAGCTAGCCTTGCACTGGATACTGTGCTCCCTGCTGCTAATGCAATTGCTCACTTCTTGATGTGATACACTTGGAGAGATTTTCTTTCTCCCATTTGATAAGCCAGCTCTTGCAGACTTTAGTCACGACAACCACATGGCGTGTTTGAAGCATGATGGCTTTAGCATTGTGCTGGTGGGGAACAGTGACCACCACTGTGCTGGGGCTTGACTAAACCAGAACCTCATTTATTCATGTCAGATAATCGCATTTCGAACTTTGATTCTTTGGGAAGTTGAACTTTTTTTGCCTGCGAAGTGCAGTGCAGAGATAACATCTATCATTTAGAATAACTGTTTTGTGCCTAGGTCCCTGCATAACACAGGATATACACAAAGCAAAGAGGAAGCACAGCCTGGCTCTGGGGGAACTAACAATCGATTTATACCTGGATTGTTATTCAAGTCACCTCAAGTCTGTGCCTCTGTTTCTCCCATCTGGAAAATGGACAGAACACGCTACCAGTCTTAGGGAAAAACCCCTGGCATTTGTTGAGCATGTTAAGACATTCAGATGAAAGGCACTACACAACAGCAAGGTGTTAACTGCCAATAAGGTCATGCTGTCCTGGGTGATGCTCCTAGAGCTCTCCTACCAGCGCAGGGTAGGAAGAGAAGGAAGTCCTAGCAAAGCACTCCTCAAATATGGAGCTTGCTGGCACAGCTGGCTCCACTCTGGAAACACCAAGGAGTTATTTTGTGCGGGGTGGTCTGGTTTGTCACAGAACACAGCGTGGTTCCCTGGGCCCTCCTTGTGCATCAAGAGGGGAGCCGAGCCCTGAGATGGTTCCATCAGCACAGCAGGCCCATGAGTGGTCACTGCTATTTGCTGACTCCTCAAAACCAGACCGGCTGAGCCGACTTTGCTGACGAGCTCTCCATTTTCCACGCCTCGTGTCCTAGTGACACACATCTAAAACACATGAAGTGCCTTTGAAGTCACTTACCAGAATGTGTCCTTAAGTGACCTGTTAGCGCATCCCTCCTTTGGCAGGCATAACTGCAAAGATGACATTTAAAAGGTTTTTCCCCTGTGTGTAGTTTAATGTGGCGGAGGAGGTTTCCCTTCTGAGTAAAGGAAGCTCCGCACTGATTACACTGGAATGGCCGTTCACCTTAAAATGACATACAAAAAAGGACATTTAATGGTTATGTGGGTATCATGTTTATCCTCACACCCTTTCCTCTTTGGAAGGGGAAAGAATGAGAGACTGGATCAATTTCTTTCTATAGAAACACACAGAGCCCTTCCGTTGACTTCAGTGGGAGTTACTGCAGCTCTGGTGTCAGAGCTTCTCGTAACATATGTAGACTATGGAAAACACTGTACAGTTTTTCCATGGGAATAAGTGTTCTGGAGGAGGCTGATTCCAACAAGCTAGCAACTTTTAGAAAAAGAAGGGCTTATCTTACTGCATGTTGAAACCCAAGATGCTCACCAGTTTGTTGCCAAAGTGTAGCACAAAGAGAAATACACACACAGACTGGAAACGGCAGCACAAAACCAATCTAACTTGTGTTTTGTGTCTAAAACACTTCAATTACGTAGTGCCTTTCATCCAAAATCCTTAAAATGCCCCACAAACACACTTGGGCTGACATTTGATCCTGATAGGAAGAAAAGGGGGTAAAGTGAGGCACAGAAAAGTGGGTAACTTGCTACAGATCACATGTGGCATCAAGGACAGAAGGAGGAAGTCCTGATTTTAGTATCCTTTGATAAAAATAAATAGACTAGATTACAAATAATTCAGTAGTCAGCTCTTACAAGAATAATAGAGAGATATTTACCAGTGTGGCTACGCTTATGAACCATCAAGACATTGAGGCTAATACATGCTAATCCACAGATATCACAAGTCATTTTCCCACTAGCTGGCCTGATGTTGTCATATGAACCCGAATGTCTTTCCAGTTTAATGCTTTCATATTCATTATATTCTCTGGGATAGGTGTAAGGCAGTTCAGATTCTTCAGGGGTTTCCATTGGCTCTGAATGTAAAGCACTCTCCTCTCTTTTACTGTATTCACCTTTCACTTTAACCACATCATCTGCAGGTAAAACAAAGCACAAAAGTGAAAAACGCTCATCTTTAGGCACAAGGAAGTAGCTTAGGAAAAAAACAAGTATTGCAGCAAATGACATTATCAACCTTCCTAAAAGTTTCATTTAAACCCCCGTAGATGAGGAAATGCAGTTGCGATGTGAATCTTCATGGGTCACGTACACTTCGTGATACTCACAGCAAGAGAACCTTTAAAAACACTGAGCTGCCTGTTATTTACCATTGGTGGATAATTTCCTTCTACTGTATAAAGTATATCACAATATAAACTCCTGCAATGACAGGGCACTATCCAGGCTGTTCCTGTGAACTGGAAATCTAGCAAGACACAAATGAGAAAGGATATTTATATCTTCCCTTGGAACCTCTGGTGCCTGAAAGGTGATTTCCCGATAAATAAATGCCCCCCAGAAACAGGAAAAGATTTGCCCAAAGTCAGATTGCAAGTACACAGTAAAGAACCCAAGGACTCCTGAAGATCCGTGGCCTTCAGACAGGTTCCTGGCTCTGGAGCCATGTCCAGAGAAAACAAAGCCATTGCCTTAAACGACTATCATTTCATGACAAAGAGGCAAACGCAACAGTTAGCAATAATGCTCCATCTTGGTCCCATTATATAAACACCTGAGGATTCCCAAGTCCTGTTGTTGGATTTCCTTTCCACCATTAACCCCAGCGTCACCAGCACTTGCACACAAATCCTTATTAAAAGCCAGGATAGCTTTTCCTTCTGCTTAAAGCTGACTTTTCCATCCAGACAAGAGCTGAAGGTTATGCCTCAAGCTACCAATCGAAGAAAAGCACCAAGAGATCAAATACAGAGCTTCCTGTTTGAAAGTACTGTTCTGGCCACCTGCTCCTCGCTCAGACTGAGGGTTAGACAGTTAAATCTGGCACTGAATCACTTGTCCTTTCTCCAAAGTACAGACCATGGACTGCTGAATATGTATTAACTCTGGTTCTGAGTAATAAACCACATCAAATGCAGAGAACAAACAATGGGTAACAGCGAAAATGAGGTGGCAACATGAAAGCAGCCCTGAAAAAGAAAGATCTGGCAAGCCATGCTGTATGAAATCAACATTTTCAACTATGTTTCAGGGGTAAATTCCCTCCTCGAGCTCAGATGTTTGCACTGAGCCCATTTGGGTTGAAATGAGGCAGAAGAAACAGGCAAGTGGTAATTTCTTCAGCCTATGTGAGAATCCACAGTAGTGTGGAAAACTCCAAGATTCCTCTCGGTGCTCTCCCTAGATGATGGTACCCACATCAGGGTGGGTTTTCCACCCATTCTGTGCAGTTTTATCCCCCTATCTCAGATGGGTTTCAGAGTTTGGCTTCAGGACTGAACTTTAAGGTCCCTTCCAACCCAAACCACTCCATGATTCTATGATTCCTGCTTCCTCTCAAACAGGCTTTCCTCTGCAGGTGCCTTTGCTGCCAACTTTATGTCCGAGGGTGCGAGAGTGATCCTGCTTTGAAGACTCCTTCAAAATTAGTTTATACACCCATTTCCATTACTCTAAGGAAAAATTCCTACCAATTCCTGAAAGCAGCTTTCAGCAGAATCTCCCCCCCCCCCCCAAACCCAAGGTTTGTTGCTTGTCTTTTTTTCCCCTCTCAAAAGGAGGCAGCTCCAAACTAATTTGCTACATCCTGCAGAGCATGGTGAAAGGAAGTGCACGTTGCAGCTGCACCTTGGTGGTACTTTCAGAAGCAATTTCAATTCCCACTTTCTACTTAACGTCTCACCTTTGGTCTGCATCAAAGGCAGTTGCTTAGTGCTGGAGGACCAGAGCAGGCTTCTCTACCGTTTTCTGCTGTTTCTCACCACAAGCTCACAGGTTTTCACTCTTTTACAGTCCTGCCAGCGTTCCTGCAGCGTGGCACTAACACCAGTTTGAGTTCCTCATGGCAAGCACTTACTGACTGGCACAAACTGGGCAAACCATCCTACAGCTCCCCCTTGGAAAATGAGTATCTCTGCTTTTTTATCTCAGTATTTTCCGCATCGCTGACTGCTCACGATACTTGTGTGTTCTGACAGCAACAGAGAAGGATGCACCCCAGTTCTGAGCAAGGCTTTCCCACCACTGCCTCCCCCAACAACCCTCACCCCCACTTCAGCTGGCGGTGCTGTCCCACCAAAGCTCCACTGCTTTTCAGTTTCCATGTAGGCACTTGGAGAGCCTCAATAGAAAAATCTCACCTTTGGTTGACTGAGAACAACAGAAAGAACGAGGGAAGAGGTGGGGTTTTGACCAAATAGAATCATAGAATCATCGAATAGTTTGGGTTGGAAAGGACCTTAAGATCATCCAGTTCCAACCCCCCTGCCGTGGGCAGGGACGCCTTACGCTAAATCATATCACCCAATGCCTCATCCAACCTGGCCTTGAACACTGCCAGGGATGGAGCATTCACAACCTCCCTGGGCAACCCATTCCAGTGCCTCACCACCCTAACAGGAAAGAATTTCCTCCTTAGATCCAATCTAAACTTCCCCTGTTTCAGTTTTAACCCGTTACCCCTTGTCCTGTCACTCCAGTCCCTAATGAAGGGTCCCTCCCCAGCATCCCTATAGGCCCCCTTCAGATACTGGAAGGCTGCTCTGAGGTCTCCACGCAGCTTCTCTTCTCCAGGCTGAACAGCCCCAACTTCCTCAGCCTGTCTTCATACAGGAGCTGCTCCAGCCCCTGATCATCCTCGTGGCCTCCTCTGGACTTGTTCCAACAGTTCCATGTCCTTTTTATGTTGAGGACACCAGAACTGCACACAATGCTCCAGGTGAGGTCTCACAAGAGCAGATCAGAGGGGCAGGATCACCTCCTTCGACCTGCTGGTCACGCTCCTTTTGATGCAGCCCAGGATACGGCTGGTTTCTGGGCTGCAAGCGCACACTGAAGCCGGCTCATGTTCATTTTCTCATCAACCAACACCCCCAAGTCCTTGTCCACAGGGCTGCTCTGAATCTCTTCTCTGCCCAACCTGTAGCTGTGCCTGGGATAGGTGTTAGAAGGGTTGGGATTTTTCTCTCCTAACACTCCTGTTATTCTTTAGAATATGACAAAAGGAAACTTTGGTACAAAGCACTCAGAAGAAAGGCCAACTCGGTACAGGTCACAGAACCAAGTAGCTGCAGAGGTCCGAAGCACCCTTTGGCAGCCCTGGCTTTTGCTCTGTGCACTGGCAGCACAGGGAACCCTGGGAGATCAGGAGTCCGGCAGCTGTGTGCAAAGGTTTGTATCTGTCACTTAAAACTCATATTTCAAAGAGAGCAGGGTCTTCAGCCAGAGGAAAGTGGCTGTAACTTCAAGCAGAACTGGGAAATTTGACAGAGGAAAACCACCTTTATCCCCAACACCACACACAAAGCTCCCCCAGTTGAACAAAACTGCTGTCATCTCTCCCTGCTTAGGAAAGCAAAGAGCTTGTAAGAGGGAAAAAACATCCATGGTGTCCAAGCCCATTTTTCTTGAGGCAGCTCAGGAAGGTAATAACAGCACAGCACAGCGCTGTTGTGGATTTGACACAACAAAGCACCAGTGTGATGTGTTAAGGCTGATGCACATGGTTTCATTTCCTGGGGAGATGATTACAAGATGAAAGGCATTACTCCAGAGTAATATTTTTGTTTCACCCGAAACACTGTAAAAACAATGGGTTCTGGAAAAAATCCAAAATAAAGCTGTGGTGGCAACTGCAGACTGAGTCACCACATGAACAGTGCTTGTGTACGTTAGAAAATGCATGACTAAAGAGAGGAGGCACCAGCAGCAAACAGGCCAGGACACAGCATTATCTTGGCTATTCCCCCCAGGAGGAGGCCCTGGAAGGAACACCCCCCCCCCCAAGTCCTGTATTTAAACCAACACCTTGGCATCAAACCTAGAGAAAAGAACATCAGTTTGGTCCTGTTGTTAAGCAAAGTTTACCAGCAGTGCTCTGAAAAGCACAAAGAATATAAAGCAGAAGCTATTAAAGACAACAGCACAAAAGGGTGATGTTACTCAAGTGTTTTACAAGGAGCAGGGTCATAATCGTGAAATCCTCAGCACATGCAAGAAGTCAGCTGGGTAACAAAGAAACTTCATCATCTTAATGTGGCACTTTAATGCTGCTGCTGATTTGCTGTGCCAATTCCGAGATAATGAGCCCCTAATGCTACAGATGTTCAGGCAGACTAAAGGGGGAAAAGAAAAAGGGAAAGCTTTTCTTGTATGCCATTTCCTAACTATGCAATTAAACAAATTGTGAAAGCACATAAATAGTTTACCAGGTTTTGACAGCTGTTAATAGGAGTCAGATGCCAAAGAACAAGAAGGGAGTTGATACAGGCACATACTGAAGGATTCTGGTGCCTACCTGGATTTGACAGGTATTAACTGCTGGATTCAGCACTGTTCCCTCCACAAGTCATCCCCAGAAACAGCAGTATAAAGCCCAAACCCAGCGCAGTCCTTCTAGAGCTGCTCTCCTCCCAGGATGTGAGACTCCTGTACCTAAGGCAGCTTGAAACACAACAGCCCTACGTGTGGAAACTGAAAAAGGCAGCAGAGTTTCCAGATTCGAGTCACAATAAACACCTCTGCCATGGAATTAACACACTGCGGGGGGAAGATTTGCCATGAATTAAACCCAACCCTATTCCTCAATGAATAGAGAGAGGTTTGCATCGGAATGACAAACATCAAAATAGTCAGCAATGCTGTACCTAAGGGGTTTTCCTTAAATAATAAGAAAGCAAGGACACACACATGCATGTGTATATTGAACATCTGGAGACTATAATGGGGAATTATAACACGCGAAGTGACACAAGAGCAACGTGAGATTGTTGGGGGTTTAATAGAGGCAACACAGAGAGAAGGGAACTTTTCTCCATGTCTGTCTCACCCCACTGCAGAGTTCAGTTCTAGGGAAGCAAAAGGAGTTCCAGGTTCCGTGGCCCAACCTGGCCTTGTTTCTCACACGGACTCCAGTGAT